ATATTAATATTTGGAGGGGAATATGCTATTTCAAAAATTAAAAGAACAAATATATATATATATATATATATATATATATATATATATATTCCTCTTTTTTGATATTATTACTATGTTTCTTCAATTTGTAACATCCTTCTCAATTAAAAGTATATATACAATATAGAAACATAAAAAATTAAATATTCATAATATTCTTGTATTATAAGTAGGAAAATATTAAAAAAATAATTAATGTATGCATGTCTTCCAAGCCAATATGATGGCACGTATAAATAGTATTTTTACTTATTATTATTATTGATATTTTTTTACTGGATCTATACAATGAGAATTGGATCGTGATAAGATCATAATAATGAGATCGATTTGTCGTTAAATATAGACCCTAAATAATCTCAATCGTAGATTATTCAAGAGAGATATTACGATAGCCAGATAGATCGATATGTTGTATATCTATCTATTTGATTGAGGTGATTGGTCTCATAAATGTTTGTGTGGGGACATCAAGGATATAATGCAGGTGCTTATTGGAGAATAAGTTCATCGATTGATCTACTCACGGAATGCTGGATGGTTAATGATACCTCATTGTTATATAGTGATTCTGTGATCCTAGTTATGTGCCTAGTTTTTAAACTTGAGACACCAAGGATGTTTTGTACGAATACTCCACTTTTTTATACCAGACTTATAGGTCTGGAGGTTTCAAATCTAACACAGTCGGTCATCAGGAGTGGTAGCCAATCTTACGAGGGTAATTGAGTGTCAATAGATGATCATCTGCTCTAAATGTTATGAGAGAAATATCTTATGTATTCTTGCTCAGGCAAACCTCTAGCTATGGTAATTCGGATTGAAAGAGAAAAAATTCTTTGAAAGAATCTGATTAGAGTGAGACTCGAGTAGATTATATATGAGCCTGATAGCATTATGCCCGATATACGGTTTCTGAGATATTAGATAGATGAAGGACTACAGATACACGGTAACTAAGGACAGATAGGGCCAATGGATATGATTCCCTTATATCATCTAGGGACTACGGTGTAGTGGCATAGTATGTCCTTAGTCGATGAGTCAAGTGAATTATTATGAGATATGATAATTCATTGAGTTAGAAAGAGTTCTAACAAGTATGACTCACAATCAACTCGATATTGGGTATAGAGGGTCATACACATATGATAGGTATTACGACGAGTAGAAGTTCATATATGAGATATTCGCTGGAGCCCCTATCTTATTAGATATTCAGTAAGCTCCCGAATTATTGGATCTTGTGGATAAGATTCAATAAGAGCTAGTGAGAGATTAAATGGGTAGAGATATACTAATCTAAGAGTCTAGTTGGATAGAGACTCAATACTCAATAAGATAAGATCTATTAAGATTAAGTTGACAAGGACCTCCATAAATAGAAGAGAACCAAATAAGCATATATTAGACCATTTTTGGCTATCACATTCTATTCTCCTCTCTCCCTCTCCTCCCTAGTCGATAGCCCAGTTTGAGACATGTGGCCAATAAGAGGAGTCAGCCTCTTCAAAATCACATGGTGTACGTAGAGATTAATATCATGTAGTAATTTAATGAGTATCTTCACTGTATTTGTCTTATGGATCATCACTAAAGATGATGGCTATTGATATCTTTCATCAATTTCTACATATTTGAGATTTTACAAGGATATACGATCTCCCTATGTAATAAATTTACCTTGGCACGTGCAGTTTCAATTTTGCATTTTATTTTATGTACTAATTTTCGCACGAAATCTCTTTCTTTTAGAAAATATGGGATTTTGCTTTTTCTATTCTTCTACTACACATGTAATGTTCTGTCCATGTTTCCGAATAATATGAAATTAGATTAAAGTTAATTAGTAATAATTATATTATAATATACATTCAGAAATTATATATCTTCTCTCATATTTCCTTATTCATTATTCTATTTCATTTAAAATTTATTATAATAAAATTAAAGATAAATAAAACTTAAATGAGCTAATTAGTACATGTATTTAGAAAGAATTAAAATTAAAATAAGAAAAACTCATAATGTTTTGGTACTACTTAGGGAGTTGAAATAATAAAAGAAAGTTAAAATAGAAATAATTAAAGTTTATAAATACTATATAAACTAATAAAATAAATTTTTTATAATAAAGTATTACTTTTATGACACAAAATATTAACTATAAGATTTTGGTTTGAAAGGGAAATGTATAAGTCTAACTTTTGTATGTTTCGAATCAAAAATTATAAAAATTATTTTCTAATATTTAATGGATTAATTTTGATGCTTCAATTTATATTATAAATAATAAAAAATATTTAAATATGAAAACAAAGAGTATGAAATATTTATCGAAAGCGATGATAGTTTGTATTGATCGCTTATGCTTAGAGATGATTTATTTGATAGATCTTAAAGTTGCATGATATGTTCCTATAATTCTAGAAATTTAATTTTTTATATAAAATCGTTGAGATATTATATTAATTTTAGTGGTTATAAATTTAGTATATTTATGATTTAATTAAAATAAAATTTTAAATTCTATATAATGGTTCATACATAATTAATGTGAATGCAATGATCTTGTAATTAAATATTAGAATGTAATATAATTTTATGAACTCCTTGAGATTATATATCCTAGATATATTTTATCACTTTTATAGATAATTTATTAATATATAATTATATATATCTAATTTATGTAAGATCTCAAAAAGTTAACATATTTAGATATATATATATATAAATTAAATTAAATTAGATAAAAATGTTAAAATTATTAGATCTAATAACGATAATAAATTTATGATAAATATAATGAGTCAATCAAAATCCAATTATATATATATATATATATAAATATAATATCATACCTAATTAAATAGCACAAAATATTCTAACATTCTTTTGCTTATTTCATTAATTGATAAAACATAAAAAAATAAAATCAAAATAAATAAGATAATATATTATTTAAAAATAATTCTATTTAATTTAATTATGAAACTTTTAAAAATATTTTAAACATACTACAAATTTTATAAAATATGTCAATAAATCTAATAAACATAATAATACCATGTTAAATCTAGTTATTAATACGAGTCATAATGGTTGTGTATCATTAATACTATACTTCCTTCTATATATTATAACATTGTTAGTCCTTCATAATGTAGTCTAAACTGTAATTTATCTTATCAAGATAATTCTATTATTACATTTAATCATAATATATACATATATAAATATGAACATGATAATAAAAATAAATAACCATAATTAAGTAAAAATATTAATTATAATGTATACTCAAATATGTATCATCATATCTTATATTTTTTTATAGATTACTCACAAACCTAATCGTAAGTACATATTTTTTTAAATACTTTAAGCTATAACGCTTAAATATAATAGAACTTCTATCTTTAACTATAAAACTTTACATTATAATATATAAAACCGTTAGAGTACTAGTTATTTTTTTGAGAAAAAACTATTGTGATATATCACAATGTATCCTCGTTACTTAGCAAATGAGTTTTACACCACCAAATTCTGAGAAAATTTTACATTCATAAATCTTAGTTAGTGATATCAGACCATATCACAAAATCGATTTTTGTTATCGATAATATAATAATATATTATCTTATATTTTTATAATTTATCTTTTGAATTAATATAAATATAAAACGTAAAGTAAACTTACGTATCATCGCTCTGCATGCAACCGTAGCAATTGCTAGCTCATGAATCATTCTTAGGATTGCCAAATCTCATGCATGGCTTCTTTGTCTCTCCCATAACTTTGTCATCCTATCAGCGGTTCATCTCCCAACAGCCATTGCCATGCCCATTACATCTTTCTCCTGCAGATGTAACCACAGGCTGCAGCGATCTCTGCGTATAACGGTGATCGCTGCCGAACAGTATCATATAGCTATCAACAGATGAAATGTTCTTCTAGCTGAGGTAGACTTAGATACTAGTGCACAGGGTTTGCCTTTATAGAGATGAAATTAAGTTATGGGGTTAACTTGTCCTCCCTAAAATGAGGTGTAGATGGCCCTAAAAGCCATTGTTTATAACCTCGGTGAGTCCTGGCTGCTCCAAACCCTAGCTTGTAGGTGGAATCCTACGGAACTGCATTGTCCTAATTAAATGGAAATTAAAAGATAAATAAAGGCATCTATTTCTTCCCTTGTGTTAACAGGTCTGCTAGGGTTCGTGATTAGGAGCTGGACCTGGTCTGAAAACTTCACCAAACTATCACATCCTTATGCAACTATAGCCACATTGGCCCACACGTACCACCGGCCTACTTTGCCACATTAATCAATGGTCACAGCTAGATCTAGTTCTTAAAGCTGATTCATCAACCTTGCTTGTCATCTTAGGTCCACTCCTCTTTGTCATGATGAGACCTGCCATGGACAGTGCAACAAGATTTTGCAAGCGTGACTTTCACAACGCAGAGCTCGTCCTGTCCTCTGCTGCACCTCCTCCTTCAAAGAATCCCAGTAGTGAGAGAAAGTTTCTTGGGTCGGTAAGCACCCCATCGACTACTGTAGGGCTTGAAAGAGGTAGTATAGGTCGTGCATGCTGATGCTCGAGCGACAACATGCAAGTGGGGTGGACTGCATGCCAGGGCTTATGCCTGCGTGCCATGGGATGTGTGTCGGAGATCACACCATTTGCAGACAGAATATGCCCCAAATCTTACTAGGATTTTGTTGTCAGGAACATGGATTTATTGCCCAAGAATCTAGCTTATGCAATACCTAGATTAGGTTCTTGGGGTTCCGCTACTTAAGAAGAAAAGGAAGATGAGAACAAACTGTGTTCTAGTGAGCAGCAACCATGATGAGAATAGAATATGTTGGGGACGCCACCATCAGCTCTTGTTCCTGTGGAAACGATGTGTATGCACCAGCCGCATGGCATTGCTCTTTCTCAGTGTCTCATTTAATGTAGTAATTGTCCAATCACACTCACAGTAGATTAGAAACAAGAAATGGAAGGGAGAAAGAAAGGTTCACATACGTATAGCAGAGATGAAATGAGAGAGTAGGATGCTTCCAAGGATATCATGGGCATTATAACTAGATATCCACCATTTCACCAGGCCAGGTGGAACCAACCTCGTTCCACTGGTGATCTCTTCCAAAGTCCATATGATCCATGTTTCCATCCCCAGGGAGCTGCCATTGGAGACCTGTAAACACCTCGTTGCCACCTTCATCCATCGTGCTGCAGGAGGCCTGGGCGGTAGTCACAGTTGTCGCTGCTGTTGTAGTTGCACCGCACAATCCTCCATCACGAGGTATCGCTGCCTCCTCCTCAATACTGGCATTGCTACCATACCCATAGTAGATGTTGCCGAAGCTGTTTGGAGTAGCGATGGCGTTCAAAATCTCTGGGGCAGCAGGGTTTCCAAGCAGGAAAGCTCCATGGTCATCCAACAATTGCCGTGGGGTATGTTGTTGATTGTGGATCCTCGCGAAGGGTGAGCTGAGGCCATCTGGATCAAACGAGTGTGGAGGTGGGATGACACCAGGAAGAGGTAGGTTGAAGTTGGTGGCCAGTGATTGCTGTGATCGCCTCTTAGAAGCCAAGGTAGTGGCGGTGGAGGAGGAGGAGGAGGAGAGAGAGGATGATGGCCTTCTATTCTTCCTGCAGCCACCACCAACAGGAACATTCCTTAGAGAGCCACCTCTGGTCCAGTATCTTCTGCATCCTTTGCAGAAGTACCTGGGTTGGGAGAGGCTGTAGTTGTTGTAGTAGCAGAACTTGGTGTTGGTGGATTGACACCTGGGGCACTCGACGGCCTGCTCTGGTTGTGGCCTTCCCCTCCTCTCCTGCTGCTGCAGCTGCTGTGCCGTAGAGCTCCCACTTCCAACTTCTTCTAGCGGAAGAAGGTCACCCATGCAAACCTATGACAGATATCACCACGATCACGGGCCGAGACAACCGATCAAGGGACACAGATTTCCGTCAACATCGATCATATATTGGACAAGCTATTCCAGTTTACACCTCAATGTTTTCAACGGCAAAAGCACGAGAGGTGAACGAATTTAAGAAGAGGAGGATCGAAATTGAATTCTTACGTTGGAGAATGACTAAAATGAGATGATCCATATCTTCTATTCTGCTTTCGGGAGAATAGAATCGACAATCCAAGTCTTTGACTTGTTATATAGATCTGTGTTCCGTGAAGATTGATTGATACCTATAGATCTCTCTCTCTCTCTCTCTCTCTCTCTCTCTCTCTCTACTACTACACACACACACACA